AAGACTGTGGAAGAACTAAAATTGCCCTTTTTAGTTCTTTCCCCCTAACGTCTGGCTAAGATACCTGCAAAAGTACAGGTCTACCTCCAAAACCTACAGTACCACATTATGTTAGAGCATTCACTAATAAAATTAACAAATTCAGATGAAGACAAAAAAGGGAGAATAGTGCAACTCAAAAGATGCCATCTGTGAAATTCAATTTTCATTTACAAAATAATGCATTATGCTAAACCAGCTAATATCACAACAGTATAATGTTAGTGCTACAAAACTTAGTAAATAAAATCTTAATTGGGGAGTCAGTGTTTTAGAGCATTTTAGTGTTGATGGATCAAACTGAAAAGTACTGATTGCTTAAATATTACATACCCAATTAAACATCTTTAAGTGACTGGGAAATTTGTTTTTTTAAAGATTTATTTATGCACACAGAACTGGAGGTGTGCATAAATAATAGGCCAGAGGTGCTGGGATGGTAAAGAGGGTTCCCCAGAGACAGAGTGGGGAGCAGAACAGGCAGACTGGCGAAGTACACTGCTGAGGGGACAAGCAGGTGAGACAGCAGAGTGTGCTGGGCCATGTGGGTCACCTCCAGGGTTGGGGATCCAACTTGCACTGAACCGGCTGCCATGCTTTAACCCATTGCATTACCAGTGAGGGCCATAATTTGTTTTTGTTTAAGATTTATTTATGCATACAGAATTGGGGAATGCACAGCCCAGAGGTGCAGGCGATAAGAGGGTTGACCAGTGACAGCAGGGAGCAAAACAAGCAGATGTACTGAAATACACTGCTGAGGGGGGCAGTGGCGACTTCAGGACCTCAGGAGAGGTCTTCCACACCATGTAGGTGACCTCCCTGGACAGGGATCGAACTCAGGCTGCCGTGGCTGCAATAGCTTCATAGTGCTGTACTTTAACCTGTTGTGCCACCAGGAAGGACTGAAAATTTAATCTGTTAAGATATAATTACTGAGCGCATATTATGAAATAAATATAGTAAAGACTACCTCCAGGCTATAATACACAATATACACACATATACACACACACACACACTACTTTCTTACAGGACTTCCTTCAAAAGCATTACTGCTATCATTTATAAATAATACATATATACACGTGTATATATATATATATAGACACCACTTTTTAAATATATTATGTACATTATCAATAAACACATAATGGAACTTTAAGAAAGTTCTGATGTTATCCCACCTCACAAATAGTCTTGCATATACCTTGAGGCATATATACTTCAGCAAACCTCAGTGATCTGGTTATATGGTCTTAGAGGAAGGGCCCAGACATCTTTGTTTCTAGAGTACCTAAGTCAAAGTTAGCACTCAGTAAAAATTTACTGAATGAAGGAACAGAGACACTCAAAAACCTAAATCTACAGCATATTTTGTTGACATATAATTCATCACCCACTTCATCTAATAAAGTGCTAAATTATACTTAAAGAAATTTACCTGCTGCATTCTACTGCCACAATTGAAAAGCCAAGAACTATTTTAATTCAGTCAATTCTTGCCCACCTCCAAAAAAATAGGGAGCAAGAAGAACAAACTGGAGGAATTTTTTTTATTATAATACTTTATTTTTACATCATTTTGTGCCATTTTCCATCTCAGTTGTAATCCCCGTGGGCTTCCCATCACCAAGTCACCCGTGTGCCATCACCATAGTCCATTGCACTTCCCTCCCCCCACAGTTGTTGAGCCCACTCTCCCCCTGTAAAATGTCTCTGGTATATAGTTGGTTTTTATTATTATTATTATTATTATTATTTTCTCGCCTGGTCCTTTATACTCTTGCTATGAGTGAAACCATCCAGTATTTTTCCTTTTCTTTCTAGCTTATTTCACTAAGCATGATCTTTTCCAGCTCCATCCATGTTGCTGCAAAAGGCATGTGTTTTTTTTTTTTGGTTGCTGAGTAATATTCCATTGTGTATATGTACACATCTTTTTAATCCAGTCATCTACATTTGGGCATTTGGGTTGTTTCCACATCTTTCCAATTGTAAATAAAGCAGCAATAAACATGGGGGTGCAGGTGTCTTTTTGAATCAGTGTTTTTGTGTCTTTTGGGTAAATGCCTAGGAGTGGGGTTGCTAGGTCATATGGAAGCTCCATTTTTAGCAGTTTGAGAAACCTACCGGAGGAAATTTTTAAGGGTTCTTATAATTCTTTCAGTAGCTGTAAACTGCAGTTCATTCTCCAATGTTTTTTTAATGCTATGTACCAAGCTATTAGAATACACTTTCTGCAACACATAAGCCACAAACCTAGATGCAATAAGAAGGTAAAGAAATGAAGAGCATAGCTGTGAAAATTCTCAGCACCTAAGAAATGCAGTAGGTATAAATAGAAAATACATGCAATCTAAGCCAGAATCAAGCCTTCAAGGGAAGGCTTACTTGTGTTCCATTCAAGATATCAAGATAGATACAAATCAAAAATAAAAGTTCACCACTAACACATCTCCCTTAAAAAAATTAAGGTATACTTTAAAGAAAAAACCGATTAATGCTCATATAACTGGCATACAGTCTAGCCAATATAGTATGCAAAACCAATCTTTCTAATTTCTAGAGCTTCTGAAAGGTACCTAGCCCAGTAAGTCTTATCTGTTATTAACATAACACTCCACTTCCAAACCACCATTTTGCAAGATAAACAAGTCCCTATTCACATGTAGCAATAAATATTCAACTTCTTTTAAAATACTACTTAATGATGCTAAGCATTATTTAATGCTTAGTAATTTTAAGTAAAGCCAAGAAGGAATTTCATCAGTTTTTCAAACTTGCATTTTACTTTTACAATATTTTACACATTCATGTGCTTGTCCAATTCTCCTCACTCACCACACCCTACACATACATTATAAACAAGCAAATAAGACTAATAAATGGAAGTTTTACTACTTATTTAGATTTTTCAAGTGCCCCAAAAAGGTCTCAAACCATTTTTGGCTCTATCAAAAGCTTCACAAAGTCCTTCTATGACCTTACTTAAAGAAATTCTATATCAAAACCTGACATTTACTAGAGTAAATAATATCATGTTCAAAAGGAATACCTATACTTAAAAAGCTTGAAAAAAAAAAAAGCTTCGGGTTTACATTTAGAAATGCTGTTTTATCAACCTGCTTCTTCTTTAACTTTAACATCGCTTTGTTAACTGATAAAACATAAATCTATTCAAACAAGTTAAATAAGGTTTTAACAAATATTGTTACCTCTTCAAATATATTTTTAAATTCAACAGGCACAGACTTCATGACACATTGAACAAAGACCTTTAGTTAAATCAGTTTAAAGCACTATTCACTGATATTTACAAAGGCACAATCTTAGTTTGACAAGAGAGTAATATGCTAGAGTTGGATAATCAAAGTTTAATTTTAGAACTCCTTAATGCCAACTACATCACTCTCAAACTGAAGAAAGGAAACACTTCTGAACCTTGAAGCTGAAAGTCAGTTTGCCTGATGTCCTTCTCTTTCATGCCATGTAAGCCATTGCCTAATTGAGGCCAGACCTGTCAGGCTCAACAGCATCCCGGAAATGACTAGCCTACTAGTGCTGGAAACACATCAAGAATTTGGAATATTTCTCATTTTGAGGCAGGGGGTTAAAAAATAAAAGAGATGTTCACAAGAACAATCACTATACTGTTCCCCAGGTTAAAAGACATAAGGAGCCTATTTTTGTTATTTTAGTCCGTTCACAACGAATACATCCGTGTCGATTTTCAGGTGATACCCCACTGAACTTCTTCCTTTTCTTCCGACATACGAACAAGAGCTCCCTACTAAAATCTCATTTTGAATGCCTGTCTTTGAATCTAATTTTTATTTTCTATCTTTGGCTACTAAAACCAACACCTGGAGAGCCTAGGTGGTTTCTTGACTCAGAAACCTGTTAACAATAATGCCTGCTCGATGTCTTTTCACTTCTTACCAAGAAAATCCATTCAATATCGAAAAGATATACAAGCGAGCACATACTCAAATCCCAGTCATGAAAAATTAAGCCACATTCCGATCATAAACTGTGCAATAGACACTTCCAGTTAGCGTGTGCCTTAGTGATCTTGTACAGCGTTATCAGAGTAAGTGGTAGGGGGTTGGGGCGGTTAACAACACACTGTGCATTAGAGCCAATAAGCAGCAGGCTGAGACTGGCAGCAAGGCCAGTCTCTAAAGGGAGCTATAACACAATATCAGAATGCTGGATTTCCGAATGCCATTTTCTGGGGAGGAGGAGGGGGTGCGAACAAGGGGATCAAGTGCAGTAAAAGGCTCAGGCCAACGTCTGAGATGAAACCTAAGACAAGGTCTTGTGGCAACACCAGCTGTCCAGACTCATCTCAAACACAACTTAATTTCAAGTCGTTCTGATCGAAGTCAGCCGTTCAAAGGGTGAGGGGGGTGGCAGGAGTGGATGGCGATAGCCTCCAAGAGCCTGGCAAAGGCCTTCGGAAAAGGCAGTAGGTCCAGGGAAGGGGCTTCTACTAGCGGAGAGGCTTTGCAGCCGCCTCCCCTCTCCCTTCCAAAGCCAAGGCTGTTAGGTACGAGGTGAAGATATTGTTGGAGGTTTTTATGGAGGAGTGAGACGAGAAAATGGCAGTAAAAGATGCAGGGGGCTAGACGGGCTACTGCCACCTAAGAAAGGGGGGAGCAGACTCCCCTGGACACAGCCAGGGTAACAACGCCACCAGAGGGCACGGACATTGCCCTACCAGCGCCAGATGCCCCTCTCTCAGGAAAAGCTTCGCCCCCTTCCACACACGGTCCCAATGCCCTAACACTGCTTCCCACCGACCTTCTCCCCCCGTAAGACTCCCCAACGCTGGCCGCCCTTCCCCACCCCTCAGGCGCCTCACGCCCTCAACCTCCCTCCCCTCCCCGGGTCACCCACCCCCCAAGCAGCCTGACTCCGGCCTCCCCGGCAGCTCGCCCAGACCCCTCCCCCCTCACCTCTCCTCAGCGCCTCCTCGTAGCAGAGGAATCCGATCCGTGACTCCTTGGCGCCCATGCTCCCCTCATCCCCTCGGCCGGGGGTCGGAGCCTGATCTCGCCCCCACCCCCCTCCCGCCTTCTCCTCGGCGTCCCTGGGTGACGGTGTCGGCGTCCCCCGGCCCCCTCCTCCCCCCACACTAACAAGTGCGGCTTCTGCCCTGGCGGCTCCTCCCGGCCGCCGCCACCGCCTCCATGACGAATCACGTGACCCGCTCCCACCCCGCCCCCTTTCCCTCCCTCCTACTCCGCCCTTCTCTCTCCTCCCCTCCCTTCCGTTCCTTCCTCACGCTCTCTTCCCTCCCCTCACCCCTCCCGTCTGCCCCGCCGAGGGTCACCTGACCCGCGACCCGGGATTGTTCCGGGTAATGGCCGCCAGGGGCCACACGCTCCGCCCCGCCCCACGCAGACAGCGCACGGGGCGAAAGGGCGGAGACGGATCCCGCACGTAACGCATCATCTTCGCCTTCTTGCCAATCCGAGGCCGAGAAGTCCCGGAGACTCCGCCCTCCTAGCGGGCGGTGACTTCCGGGGCTCTCGGTGACCGTCCCGCCCTCGGTGGGCGGGGTCAGGGGGATTGACGGTTGGTCTGGCTGCTCGGAGAGCAGTGGAATTCAATGGTGCGTGGGCCTGAGGGGTGCGGTTCAGTAGTAAAAGAGTGGACAGACAAGGAAGTGCTAACGTTAGGGAAAATTTTAACTGGGAGGGAGTGAAAGGAGAATGTCGAGGATTTCCTGTGACGAAAGAATTCTTAGTAAGGAGATTCCGGAGGGAAAGGGAACCTTGTGATACAGTTTAGAATCTCTTCCTTCCCAGCCAAACCATTTCACGCTCCTGACACCGCTGGGTTTCCTTTCACCTCCACCGGGCCCCAGCCGGTAACCCCACCTCCCGCTGAGCCGGCCACTTGTAAACTTAATTGGAAACTGACCTGTTCAGGCTTAGCTTGTTTCCCTCTGAGAGTTGCTCCCCACCAAAAAAAAAGTGATAACAGCATTCCTTGCTTAAAAAATTAAGTTGTAAAAGGCACATCACAGCATTTACCATGTTCATCATTTTAAGTGTAGGGTTCAATAGCATTGAATTTAGTGACATGGTGCAACCATTTCCAAAATTTTCTTGCAAAACTGAACCTATTAAACACTTTATTAACCTCTCTCACCAACACCTGACAACACCCATTCTTTCAGTCCCTTGAATTTGACAAAATATCTTATTAGGGGAATAGCACGGTATTTATCCTTTAGTAAAAAACTTATTCCTCGTTTCATCCATGTTTTAGTGTGTCAGAATTGTCCAGATTTAACGTATGATCCAATAATTCCACTTAAGAGTATAGAATTGAAAATAAGGGACATGAATGGATATTTGTACAATCATGTTTGTAGAACATTCCCAGTAGCCAACGGGTGGAAGCAGCCCAAGTGTCCACCAAGAGGAAAGATATATAAATTAACATACGGTGTATACATACAATGCAATACCATGCAGTGCCTTGATTTTTAACTGTATTCAGTTTGGTTAGTCTGCAAATAACAGTAAAACTTTCAGATAAGGAAACAACCCTGAAAAGTAACCATTTGGATTAGACTCAAGGTGCCAGTTAGAACCACAGAAGGATTTCAGTTCCTAAAGACAACAGATTATAATAGAGCCTGCCTGAGAAGGAAGGTGGCACTCTCTTTATCCACTCACCTTTCCTGGCAGACCAGATCAACAGCGTGGCATTAGTCACAGTGCTGCCATTTCCAGTTCACTCTGAGGCAGTTAATTTTAAGACCTCAGATTAGTTTCATTCTAAAAGACCATGAATCAAGGGGTTGGGAATGTAGTTCAGAGTCTTTAATTTCCAGGTTATTAGTTTAGTTTAGACATAAGTCTCCAGACAAAACAACAAAGTCATCTTCAGCCAGCCATGAGATTATCATAATTAATGGGAAGTGAACAGTAAGAGTGGGTTCACACTTGGTTCAGGAGAAGACCCTTGAGTTCAAAAACAGACCTAAGCATTATTGCTCTGCTAAATAATCAGTACCTAAAGGTGACCTTGCTGCATAAAGGATAGGCTTGGGCGATTAAATATCTATTTAGTTTTTCAGTGAAATTAGAAGTGAATTGTTTTACTTCTGTGAAATTTGCCCCATTTGAAAGAGGAGACTACAATTAGAACATACCTATCTCATGAAATAGTACATTTTTACAAAATACTCTGGAAAGAGAAGAATATAAACTTTATAATGTAAGTTTTACAGCAACACTAAGGGAACTTTAAAAAAATTCCCTCTTTGGTTTCAGACCTCACTTCCCCTACCATCATAAAATTTTTCACCGCCATCACAGTTTACCACAGATTAAACATTTTTCAAAATTGCGAGTTGAGATAAAAAAGTATGAAATACCGTTTCGCCTTTGTCTGAGTTAAATTAAGCATATTATTGAAGACAGTGAAGCAGATAGTTTGGTCTGATGGGAATTTTAAATGTTAAGCTGGGATCAGAAACTGCCTTTTGGTTTGTATTACACATTATCAGGCAGTCAAATGTTAAACATTCCTCTATAACTTAAAATTGATACAGTACTTAAGTTTGATGATGTAGAAAATCTTAAGTCTACTTGTCATACTAAAAGGAAATCCATTAATCATTGAATTTATTCAGTTTCATTATATTTCACTTAACCCACTGAAGAGTTGGCCAGACACCTGACTTTAAACATTAGGTTGTACCTAAGGAAGCATTGCTTTAAGTATAATTACATGCTTATGAAATAGTAGTCCATAGGAAGATTTGAAACATGGGAGATTGGTATGTAATTTCTACTTCTAGTTGGGCAACCTAAATGACAGTCTCCTTCATTTTGTACACCCAGAGAAATGACATAGGAGTAGGACAGAAGCTTGTTTGCCAAAGAATCTTAGGTCATAGAGACAGACTGGTTGATATAATAAAGAATGTTGAGGAAACACCTGATTTAAGTATAACTCAATAGCCACAAAATGAGGCCAATCGTATATGAAGCATGATTATACAATAAAACTGATTTTCCAGTATCAAGGATTTATTACTGATAACAAGAAAAATTGAGGAGTGCCCAAAGACCCCAAACAGCTAAGGGGGAAACCCATATAGCTCCTCCTACGAGAATAAAAGCAAAGTAATCAAGCTCTACTAAGCACAAAGATATCTGACCCGTGAGAGGGTGAAAGCGTATATAGAGAGGGAGAATTGGAGAGAAGAATTCCAAAATATGGGCCCCAGATCCAATCTTCATACCAACCACCCCCTCTCCTGGGCAAACATTTAGCCAAACACGAGTGCCCAAAAGGGAGCTATCTAGGGCCAAGATCAGCATCACCAGGAGGATGAATACAAAACTCCTCTCAGCAAGAGGTTGTGCAGGGTCCAAAGGCCAGAGAAAGGAAAGATCCAAAGTTCAAAACATACTACCCCTTTGAATGTCCCACAAGATGAAGGAGGCAACTTCCATATTCTCGAGAGAGCAGGCCGTGCCACCTGCCAAAATACAAAATGGAAAAGAGAGTGGGCACACATGGCTTCAATATTTTAAGTCCAACATGGCCACTAAACTCCACCCTTGTTTCCCATCAGGAAATGTGGGTTCATGGACTACTGGGAGGCAAAATGCCGAGCACCTTAGATCTCACAAGTCCCCTGGCTGGGGACTGAGCTCATGCCAAGGTGGCTGGGGATAGCTTTATAGAGCTCAGAGTTTAACCCCTGAGCCACCAGGAAGGCCCTGCTTTTCATTATTTTATTGATGCCTAAGATAGGCAAGATTTCACCAGGACTCACCCCCTAAGAACTTCTGATTCACAAATAACTAAAATGGGCATTTTACCTGAAGAAAATGAAAATAGTAATTCCTAGAAATACGGCACCCTATGTTCATTGCAGTATTATTCACAGTAGTCAAAACAGGGAAGCGATCTTAAATGCCAAACCCTCAGATTCGACAACAGCTTTCTGGTTACCAGAGGGGAAAGGGGGTAAACAAAAGTGTGAATGCATAAAAGGAGTCAACTATATGGTGGCGAATAGAAACAAGACTTTTGGTGGTGGTCATAATATACAAATATTGAATTATAATGCATATACTTGAAATTTGTATTGTATTTTAAACTAATATACTTCGATAAATATTTTTAAAAGATTATTAATTTTGCATACAAGAAGGACAGAGGTGGGGTTGGGGATGAGAGGATTCACTAGAGACAGAATAGGGAACAGAACAGACAGATCAACTGAAATGCACTGCTGCAGGGAGCAGCGGGTAAGACAGGAGTGGCCTGGTGGCCATGTGGGTCAGCTCCCTGGCAGGGGATTGAACTCCTGCAGTGGCCACCGATAGTTTCTCAGTGCTGCGCTTTAACCCATTGCGCCACCAGGGAAGACCCGCTTTGATAAATATTTTTAAATAAAATGGGAAAGAAAAACATTCAGAATGAGGGTCTATCACTTAGACCTACTTTAGAGAGTCTCTTTTTTTGTATTACTACAATCTATGCTTGGCAAACACCTGCGAGCAAAGCATCACGCTGTGCACCTGTGAGCAATATTTACTCTTTATAGTAGTCTGATATTGCTCTCCCCCTTCCCAACTGCAATGAAGTTATATTTGTGTCACTTTCAAATTAATTATTTACAACAATTAGGGAAAAGGCCTATGGGCAGGACCACAAGTGGCTAATTTTTCTTGTTAAGCTCCTGAAAGATGAAGTACAAATGAAATCTTTTAGTCCTCCTCTGATTCCCTCATGTCCACCTGCACTCCACTGCCAGGTTTTTGTAACAAAATCCATAATCCAGTTTTGACCAGATTATCCATGCCTTACCTTAGTTTCTGGGTTCTAAATCACTTTGCGTATCTCATCTAACATCCAGCTTTTAATTCTAATATGCATTCTTAGATACTTGAAAAATGCCAGCTCTGTCTATCTTTAACTTTGATTTCTTCATCTAATACAAAAGATTTAAACTCACTAGGCCTTTTCTAATTCTTTTTTTTTCTAAAAATATTTATTTATTTGTGCATACAGAACTGGGGTACAGGCCAGAGGTGCAGGGACAGTGAGACGATTCACCAGAGACAGAGTGGGGAGCAGAACAGGCTGACTGAAGTGCACTGCTGAGGGGAGCAGCGGGTGGGCCAGCTGCCGGGCC